GCCTTCTTTTCTAGTTCCATCCAATTCTCGTTCATTTTTCTCATGTCTATCTCCATTTCTCGGTTCAATCTATTCTTTGGTCTTCCTCTTTTCCTTTGGCCTTCAGGATTCCATGTGAGGACTTGTCTTGTGACGCAGTTGGGTGCTTTCGTCAATGTGTGTCCTATCCACTTCCAGCGCTTCTTCCTGATTTCTTCCTCCGCTAAGATCTGGTTTGTTCTCTCCCACAGTACGTTGTTGCTAATAGTGTCCGGCCAACGGATCTGAAGTATTCTGCGTAGACAACTGTTAATAAACACCTGTATTATCTGGATGATGGCTTTTGTAGTTCTCCAGGTTTCTGCCCGATACAATACCCTGTTGAAGACTTTACCCGGTATTGAGAGAAGAGTGATGCCTCTGTAGTTATCACACTTGCTGAGATCGCCTTTCTTCGGTATTTTGATTAGAAGTCCTTCTTTCCAGTCTGTTGGTACTTGTTCCTCATCCCAAATCTTATTGGAGAGAATGTGGAGTATCCTTGCAGTTGCCGCCACGTCTGCCTTTAGTGCCTCTGCTGGGATGTTGTCTGGTCCTGCTGCTTTGCCACTCTTGGTTTGTCTGATGGCCATGCTGATTTCTTCAATTGTTGGTGGGCCAACATTGATTGGGAGGTCCGTGGGTGCTGCTTCGGTGTTGGGTGGGTTCAGTGGGGCTGGTCGATTCAAGAGTTCTTTGAAGTGTTCTACCCACCTGTTTTGTTGCTCTTCAATGTTGGTGATTACCTCGCCTTCCTTACTTTTCACTGGTCGTTCTGGTTTGCGGCGATTTCCAGAGAGTTTCTTTGTCGTGTCATACAGTTGTCTCATGTTTCCTTCTCTTGCAGCCTTTTCCGCCGTCGTTGCTAAATCTTCCACATATTTACGTTTGTCGGTTCTGATGCTCCTCTTCACTTGTTTGTTTACTTCTGTGTATTCAGCTTGTGCCTTGGCTTTTTCTGCTCTTGTTAGACTGGTATTGATCGCTGCCTTCTTGTTTCTTCTTTCTTGAATCCTATCCAGTGTATCAACAGTGATCCATTCCTTGTGGTGGTGCTTATGTGACCCAGGACCTCATGACATGTTGAAGTGATTGCCACTTTGATCCCATTCCAGTTGCTCTCTATAGTAGTTCCTTCTCCATTGAGTAGATCATGAAAGGCCTGGAATCTATTGCTGAGGACTATCTTGAATTTGTTGAGTTTGTTAGTATCCTGAAGAAAAGCCGTATTGAACTTTTGTGATAATGTCCGCCCCGTTGTCCAGTGCTTCTTGAGTTTCAATTTCATCTTGGCGACCAGCAAGTGATGATCTGATGCCATATCAGCTCCTCTCTTGGTTCTCACGTCCTCTATAGTCCTCCTGAACGTTTTGTTGATGCAAATATGGTCGATTTGGTTTTGTGTAGAGTGATCCGGTGAAGTCCATGTGGTTTTGCGTATGCGTTTATGTGGGAATACGCTGCCGCCTATGACCAGCTTATTGAAAGCACATAGATTTGCAAATCTCTCACCATTTTCGTTTCTTTCTCCCAATCCGTGTCGTCCCATGATGTCTTCATATCCAGTGTTGTCCGTTCCAACCTTGGCGTTGAAATCTCCCATCAGAATGGTCAGGTTCTTTGTTGGGCACTTCTCGACGATTGACTGCAGCCTATTGTAGTTTTTATCTTTAGCGTCTTCATTGTAGTCGTTGGTAGGCGCATAGCATTGGATGATGTTCATTGAAATACCCTCTTTCTTAGTTTTAAAGGAGGCTTTGATGATCCTTGGTTCATGAGATTCCCATATTATAAGTGCATTTTGTGCTTGTTTGAGCAGCATCAATGCAACTCCCTGTGTATGTAGTGCACTTTCTTCATCATGGCCGGAGTATAGCAGAAGTCTCCCTGAAGTTAGTCGTTGTTGTCCAACTTGTGTCCAACGTGTTTCACTGATCCCAAGTACCTCTAGGTTGTATCTTCTCATTTCTGCAGCAATTTGGAAGGCTCTTCCGGTGTCCCGCATTGTACGAACATTCCATGTATGTAAATAAATGGTCACCCTGGTTGTCAGAAGGGGCATCGGCCTCGTAACTTGCGAAGGAATTCGGCTTTCATCATGAGGCGTCATAATTCTTCTAAATGAAGACCTTCTGACTCCCAGGGCAGAGTTTAAAAGGTTTGAATAATTTTTTTGATCAATTCTGTTTAAAATCATTTAGTAGGGAAATCATATATGAGAACAACGAGTACTCAGTGAGTGGCACTGAAGGCACATGTGACCAACATTTTGTCGCGGCGATTTCGCGCTTTCAGTATGAGACTCATAGAAGCTTGAAGATGTCAACTCATCATATCACACTACCATTTATGCTGTGTGACAATAATCTTATCATCAGTAGAAAAAATATTTGGTCTGAACTGTCTTTCGAGGTATCTAGAGATTATTTATCAAGTGCCAAATTAAAGAGGATACGTTAACTTTAAGTCAAATAGTCAACCTGGGTATTTGAACCTACATTAAAATAGACGTACTCACGAAAAAAGTACGTACATGAGTAGCACACTTGTGTTAGCCGCTTTTGATGAAAACAATCACGACCGAAAAATTTATTACGTAATTAAAATACTTCTCTCGCAAGAAACCAATTATTACTGCAGCTCACTAGCTAAAATGAACCAATTTTATACCACTGGGATCAGTAAACACTACTTAACGTCAAGATTTTAAGGCAGTTAATGACATTGTTTAATTCTAGTGTGCCAAAAAGATATTGGATATAGATCCACGGCGTGACCTTGGACTTGAGTTTATGGCGGCTTGACCCGCCATTGGTACCCGTTAACAAAGTGGGTTTTTCTTTAGCCACCTGTAGTTGTTGTACTAACAGTTTTCTCAGAGATATCTCTCTTTATTTCTGACTAAGTTGACTCGTCGATTAGCGGCTTTGAGTTTTTGAGAGTAAGTTTGGTTACGACAATGTGAATCTTCCAATGAGTCACTAATTTATGTAGTCAAACTGTTTCTTTTCTGCATTGAAATCCAAGACTAAAAATAATGCTTTTGGTTCCAGATGTTTCGTCATCCCAGTAGACATATGTTCCTGTAGGTTCTACCATGCCAGGCAGGTCGATTGGAGAACGGTAAGACTAAAATCAGCAATTCAAGGTGAGGGCGAAATCGAACTGCTGACTGTAGAGGAGTGTGAAAGGAAATAGGGTGTTTTCCTCGGACAAACAGCATCTACAGCGATTCGGCCTTCTCATAAGGAAGGAAAGGGTTAGAAAAGGTCGATCCTAAAAATGTCACACCTCATCTTACCTCACGGATTTCCGTCTCCGGCGGTAAGGCCCTTTGGAGAACGGAGCTAACACGTCAAAAACCTTCCACAAAAGGGCCGCGCGCGACCGGCCCCAAGCAGTTGTCCCTTGAGCTCTGCGATGAGGCTCCCAGGCCGTAATGGCCGACATTAATCCGAATTCCTTCTCAAGTTCCTCAAGAAATACCCTTCCATGGTGTGGGCAACCAGGAAGTGACATCAGCCCTCATACCCGTAACAGCACACGAGACAAAGTTAGTCACATTTAAATCCTTCCTACACCTAGTACCTCTTATCTCCACGGCTACTCCTTCTCCCGTCCTTTTTATCATCTCGCGCCGCCAGGGCAAACGATTCGAGTACGCGGAACGTTATTCCTGGTCTTCTGAAACCACGTTCTAAACCACACGTGGGAGCTTTAAACGTCCGAACACTGTGCCAAATAGGAAAACAGGCTTCCTTAGCTAGGACTTGAGAATCCCGCGACTGACTTGCCTCCACGAATGCAACTGGTGCTGTATTTCCATCATTGCTCACAACGTCAAACTACGCGATCATTTACCAATTCAAAATTTCATAATTGCTAGTCCAATACCCCTGACCAAGTGGAAAAAGTATATCCGAGCGAATGCGCAGCCTGTCCCTAGCATCCACAGTTTTAGGCCCCTATCCTGGTTAATTAGCTTGACATATTTTGCTCCCAGGTCAAGTATTTCAGTCTTTGATGCATCATAATTAGATCTTTTGCTCTATAAATTCTATCTCACAGTTCTAGCTACTAAGTTCATTAGCTGCCTAAAGAGGTATTCACTGTATACGTAATATACGTTAAGATGTTCATTCTTCATACAGTAATACAAACCGCTAAAATAGTCAATACAAAGCCATCTGGTCCAAAAAGGGCGTAGTAATTCGAGTGGAAAGAGTTGTCACGTACCACTTTATCTGCTCCTTTCATTTAAGATATCCTTACAATGAAAGGATATTAAATAAGAGACCATATTATTACTTATGAGGGGTAGCATGCAAATGGTGTTTGTGGTGGTAATTTTATTTTATTTTATCACATAGATAATGGTACAAAGAGGCACCAAATACATATGCGCCACACAAATCTCATTCGATATGTGTGAGGGCTGTGATACTACCCGGGTGCCCAAACCGAAGCAGGTGGTTTTCTTAGGAGGCCACTCCCCGAGCCTTCGACCTAAAGGTCTGATCCACAAGGCAATGGAGCATCGTCAGGAGATGCAGTCCCATGGAAGCCGGTGACCAACAATTGGTTCATACGCCATTTGTTTCCGCAGGATACTGGAGCCCATGTGTACCATTGGTTTGGGATCCGGTTAAAGCGCCGGACATTCGCTTTTCGTCCTCTCATTTTTGTAAACAACACCCCCGCCACGAGAAGGCGGGGTGGTAATAGACTAACTAGACTCAAGGTTCTCATTCATTCCGACCGTAAAGATCAGCCAGTTATAAATGGTTACCAACAGCGATTATTTGAAATCCTGGAAGACGAATTCAGTAAAAATCTGTTAATCATATAGGAATGTGTTTGGTGAGAGTTACCTAGCAAGATTCTAATTGTCGTATGTAATAGCCAATGCCGTCACAAAGTATTTCACAACGGTATGCTTCTTTGTGTCCAAGTTATCGTAATTTACAAGAGTAGAAGATATTCGTAGGTCACTAGTATTCGATCATAGGTGTCTTCGAAGCATTGCTCGTATATCCTGGGACCACTAAGTAAGTAATGCAGTTGTTAGGGGACGGGTACTAGGTAAGGATGGCAAATCAATTGATGAAGTAGTGAAACTTCTTCAGCAGCGGCAAGATCAAAACATAGCACAAATCCATGAAGTCATTGACAAGTGGACTGAGCCATGTTGGTAGGTAAAGACTACCTGGTTGGGATCCGCTAGACGACAGCAACCGATGGTTAGGCCTTGAATGACATGACTAAAAATCGTTTGCAATGGCACAGGTGCATCCACTCGTTTTGTTTTCCCAAATTCTAATCTTCTGAATTCTTATGTCCATTTTTTTCTCTTATCAAATTTATTTCACTGGATTATGCTCTTTGAATAACACCTTCAAACCCTAATTTTTCCGATTACTGCCTATACTTTTACTACCTCTACCACTAAAGTATTTGAATCGACACTTGTATCTCTGTGTTAATGTGGAATGGTATCTCAAGCTAATGTATGTACGTACGAAGTTATTTGTTGACTGACTGACTGAATTCACAACAGCTTTTGAGGAAAAACTATCATTCTTATGTTATTAGTAGCAAAGAAAAAATCAAGTTGTACCAAGCTGTAATAGTACAGTGGTGAAAATTAAGAAAGTAAGAAGAAAATGGTGTCTGTCTGGTTTATTATGAGCCATGTTTCCTTGTGTTTCTCCAGACCTTTTTAAACCATAATCTCAACCTATAGCCTCCCACAGAGACATTGATACTACCATCGTTTCGATCCTTATGTTATTCATCTTGCTATATTATACTGTAATATGTCAAATTGAGCTAACGCTCATTTTCCCCAGGTTTTGCGTTGATTGTAGCTGCCTGTCGTTTGTAACAATAAGTCACGGCTACTTCATTGTGCCTGACCTGTAACCTGCGCCAAGGCATGTCAATTATTTTTTGAATTTTCAGTTGAACGTCAACAAGTAAGCCCGTTTGTTTGCTAAGTACAGAAAATGGAGTGGAAGTGATCAGATTGTGTTCTGTTTTCGGACTTCGATCTATGTTAGCAACAGATTCAAAAACATTATTTCCTGTGTATCGTGGTTGTTTGGTTCTATACGTACATTTGAAAACAGTTTAAGGGGACCATGTAGTGTTAAAGCCATTGACAAATTATTTTGGTAAGACAATGTAAAATCTGCAGTAAGTTTCTACGGAGTGATAATTCAGTCTTTGATTGAATTATTAGTAGATTTCGCTACTAACCTCGTAATTTATTTTTATTTAAGTAAATTTAGAGAGATGGAGTTTGATGTATTTGAAAAGTTAAGTGAACTGGAGACTGAAATCCACATTTTGAAGAAGGAACTCGAAGAAAAAGATGCATTCATTCAAAACCTGATGGACAAAAATACGGACTTAGAACGCCGTCTACTATCTCTCGATCAAAACAGTGTGACCGGTGAAAATAATTTATCACGTGTAAAAGAGATTGCTCCCAACGGTTCGAATACTACTGATTCTAAAACATATGGTGCGATCGTGTAGTGAAAATTTATATTCCATTCTTAGGTGCATCAATAGCTAATATGCTTAAAGAAACATCGGAAGCTGTTGTACGTAATACAGGCTACACATTCGACGAACGAACTGGTTTGTATTATGATCATAAAAGTGGCTACTATTATGATCCGGTATGTTATTTTAAACTTTCATTGAACTTTGCAAATAACTTTAGGAAAATCAGTTATTTTACGAACCCAAAACCGGGACATACTATAAGTACAATTCAGAAACTGGTGAATATACAAATTATACTGCATCAGAAGACGATGCTATGAATAGCAAATTCAAGGAATTCTCTCACCCGGTGTATGCACACTTACTAAAGGTAAGAAGTTTCATCCATAAGTGTTGATTATATTTTAAAATTTCACGCGCAAATTTGTTTGCTTAAAACAAGTATAGATTGATTGAAAACTTTCTTTTTTTGTAATGTTCCAGCCTATTCTGTTTAATTATTTTAGGTCAGTTTATATCGAGTCATCGGATCATCAGTGGAGATACAGTTGTACAGAAAACAATCAAATCCACTCGAAAGAAACAAACATTTGACATTTTATCTCGATTTTCTTACTTACGTACTCTTTTATTTTCATTACTTTTCACTTTCGGGATGTAATTGTTGGGGGTGTTGAATGAAGAAAATGCAACAGCGCCACAAAGCAGAAAAAGAAAACGATTATGGTTACCTATCAAAGACTGTATCTAGACAAAGTCGGTCAACAAGCAGTGATATTGGTCATCGTAGAAGACGGAGAAGTCGTAGTCACTCTGGTTCGCAATACTGTCGTTCATACTACAAACATAGATGTGAAAGCCCATCATTTCATAGACATACAAGGCGCAGACAAAAATCTTACAGATACTCCCATCGTTCTGGAAGTTCTCGTAGTGATGAAAGCCGCTATAAACGTAGTAAACATCGGAGAAGAAAACACTCTCATCGACACAGGCATCGATCATCTTCTACTACTGGTTCTGTGTGTTCGTACAAAAGTCGAAGTGAGTTCTTCTGAACTTACCGCCCATATTGTGAATTTATCTTTCATTTTTTTGTGTATTAACATTTCCATACCACTTTTTCATCTTTTAAATTAGTCAATGCGTGAACAAGTTTCCGCTTAAAGTACGTTACTTTATTCAAGAATGCATTTATTCATCGTTTTATTTCTGTACATGAGTTTTATCAAAATGAAGACGAGGTGCTTTTTCGCTATTTCTGTGTGATGCTTGATTAAAAAGTGAGATATCTGTAAATCCTATCTAAAATGCTTATTATTATTACTATTACTATTGTTATTATTATTATTATCAGGTTAAGAATAATAATATGTTGAATTTTCATTCAGCAAATCAGTTTTGTTGATATTAGGTCATCGATTTATTTGTATTTTTCCATAGATTGTAATTAGTACAATATTTACTACTTTTCGGTGAAATATGTATATACTTGTCAATTAGCAAAGCTTGATGTGTCTTGTCCTATTTACAAGATTAGTATTTATGATACAAAATACTTTTTCTTTTGTTTATGATGGAAAATAGCGGGTAGCAGTTTCTGGTCTCGATGGTCATGTTTCATTAATAACAAAACTTTTTATGGGTGTACGTGATCAACATAACTGATATTCGTAGTTGAAGTTAGTCCTAACGATATTATTAGCGATCTAAATAGTCTGTAGGTGATATTCCATTATTATTGTCTTATGAAACAACACTTGCGTTTACGCAGACTAATTTCGAGCAGAAACTATAATCTGTTATTCTAGAAATTTTCACACGTTTAAGCACTTACATTAACGCTATGGTTTTTACATAGCTGCTAATCTACTAGTTTCATCTCATAACCATCTTTCCCTCGTTACTAAATTGGTCTTTTTATTTCGACTTGTTCATTTTTGACAAATGTTTTGTAATGTTTTAAAGCTGTACTGTGTTAAATCACTTCAATAATATGAGTAATATTTTAGTTACCAGCCGCTTAATACTTGACAATTGTGTTGTAGATTATATCTCTTCTATACTTGGTAGCACACAAATCTTTATAAACTTTTCAAATGCTTCTTTAATCGCACCAAGATTTACAAGTGTATTAGATAATTTAGAACAAATTATTTTGTTCTTATCATTTATTACTTTTTTTGCAACTAATGACATGACAGGAAGTACGCTTATATCCCTTAAACGCCGTTTAGTCGAATTAAAAATATTTTCAGATACAATTTGTTTTTTGAACGTAACTAGCCTTTGTTTTAGCTTTAAAAGTTCTTTAGAGTTAACATTTGAAAGCAAACAGTCGTCAAACGGAGAGCTCTACGGATTTTACAAGAATCATCAAGAAAAACCGTAAAATCTAACTGGATGAAAATCAAAGTGAATGTTGTACATTAAATAAATTTCTGGTTAAATATTTTGTCTTGTAAATTTTCATTTTTAGCTGCCAGCCTTATTCAATAAATTGATTTGTGCTGTTCTTTCAATGACTGGCTATAGCGTTTTAAATTTGGGAAATCATCTGTTGCAGTGTATTTGTGTTTCAAAGATACAATTATCAATTGCTCAGTGGATACTATCGAAGTTTTTAAAGTAGGATAAATGATTCGACCAATTACAAATGTTCAACAATTTTTTATTCATATTTCATTGACTAATTCGTTATAGAATTTTATTCGATCTAGTAACTAATTTTGACAGTTAAGATAATCTGACTAGATCCTCAGCCACCACACTTCGAATTTGTTCTGTTTAAGGTGAATGGGTCTATAAAACTTTTAAACCATCGAAACAAAAGCTTAGTTTATATGTAATTGTAAATTCTAACAAACATCATTTATTCTTGTAGCGGTGTATATCAGTATGATTAGGTTGTGATAGCGAATTTTGAAATCCCTATTTTTTAGTATCAAGTAAGTTAATGTACGAAATACGAATCGTTAAGTAGTTTTTCCTATTTCTGAACACAGTCAGATTTTACATGTGATGTACGTTGCCGAAGACTAGTATGTTATATCTAAACCGTCGTACTACGACTCATGTAAAAATGTGGATTCGACTGCTCCCACGGTTTACCGCTCACTGCTTTATGATAGGTTTTTATTCCAAATTAGCTTCATCGCATAAATTTGATTTTCTTTCAATAAGTAAAGTTCGTTTTAGTTTTAAAGAAGTAAGCACTATGTACATCTTAGTACATAGCACTGAATATGTACCCGTTGCACACAACTAGTAGCTCATGGATGGAGTGATATTTACTTTGTACCAAATAGTTTAGATAAAAAAATAGTGTTTTGTTTATTAAATTTCATTTTCCTCTAAACTGTTTACATTTATTTGGTACCACTCGAGTAAAACTTCAATCTTGTTGTGTCTTTTCTTTCATGACCTTAGTACGTGTATGTAAATGAGAGAATTGATGTGGTAGAATCATAATTGAGTCTTCCTGATCCGTTTATCATGTTGGGTGCTTAATATCGAATCTCAACAATTTTCGATCTTTGAAGTAAGCGTATTGTTTTAAAGTATCCCCTAGTAGTTATAAGGGTCGGCGGAAGTAAGTAAAACATAAGGATTGGTATATTATCCACTTATTATTTATGGGATTGATATGTTTTGGGCCAATTGTGTTCGAAGGGTAAACAGGATAGCAGTTCTTCACCATGGATAATATTGGTTCAAGTAAGTCAATCAGTCATAGTGAACCTGGCACGAATGTGTACATGTTAATTCAAAGTAAGTCCCGAAATTGCAGTCCTATATTTCACAACGTCGTTAGCTAAGTTGTTGGGTAAATGGTCTGTAGGCTGATTTTCTTAAATAATCAGGCAATAGGCAATAATTTGTCAGACAGGTTTTGGTCATAGGTATGATTACCGTTCGATCTATACTCCTTAGTTGTGTCAGAAAGGTGATTTAGCTAACCCCTTCCCATACTATAATACAAGAAGTTACTTAGTTTTTTATTTCCTTTTGTAAAGTTACTCCTCTCCGATAATCTTTCCTTCTTGGCAGCTTTTGCAAACGCATGTGGAGGTTTTCCTTTGTTCGTATTCCCTCTGTCTCCATGTACATCAAACTTGACATTTTGTCGCTGTGTTAGTCCTCACGTTTAGCTAATTGTTTTCAGCGAGTTCCAGCTATTTCTCGACCACACTTGCGAAAGGCTCTATTCGGTTGATGGAATAATACTTTTAGATATCTGCTTTTATCTCTTATTCTCGTCGTGTTAAAAATACCTAACTTGGTTTTGTTCAATGTGTTCGTCAGTGTAATACATTGGTGGATGTAAAATCCTTGAGTTGGTTCCTATTGTTTTATTTCGGTCTTGTCTGCGGTACATAATTTCATCATTCACTTTTTATGTTAGTCATAAAAATAATTCGGTCAATAGAGTAGATTTTTCCCTAGGCCGTCAATAGTAATCATTTTCCGGAGTGTAGGGATGATTCAGAAGGTACAACTCCCTTAATTTATTGTTAATTTTCCAACCAAACCTCTGCCTAGGAGTCGGCTTTTTGATTAAATAAGAAATGCTGATTCACATGTATTTATCAGAAAGGCAGCTAAATCATAATAATAGTACCTGGGTTCAATACTTCGTTATTTGGGTTTTTTAGTAAATAACACGTTCGTCCCTAAAAATTCATGTTTGTTTGTATCCATGTCATTACAAAAACAAATCACAACTTGAATGGATATGAAAAATTTTCCATCATGAAAGTAAATTATCGTAAAGTTTGTCTTCGTATTATTATTATTATTACTTACGTGGCTTTTTAAGTCTTACACAACTGGTGACTTTTTTGAATTCTATAATTAAATTTGGGGTATTAGAAATTGTCGTACTCGAGCGCTTCGAAGGACAACAATACTTTCGAAAGATACCATTCGGAATATAACGATTCTATTGTAAAATAGAAAATTTTGAGTTGCGCGTTACAATAAATGTCATGTTTCCCCTATCACATTCACTCGTTAACCCATGATCTTGCAAATACTGAACATAACACAAATATATCTTTGACTGGAACGTAGATGATTCAACATCGAGATTAAAATAACTTACTGGGAAAAGTTTTGTTCTAGGATGACTTTTGTCAAAATAAGGTGCTGTACGACTTCCGTTAAATTCATAACGGTTTGAAATTGCTTTATCAGATGTATGTAAAATTTCTCAATTCTCGAATCGTATGTAGAGTAACAGGATAACTTGTATCTATCTCAAGGTGACTCTAAAGCATAATTACGCGTAGTAAATGTAATAACACTATGTTTGAGGTCCCTTGCAAATTTCAGAAGCTACTATCTAATTAGTAAAGTTCACAAACACACACAAATACTTCATCTTAAGTTAGTGAAATAATTGCGAAAAGTGATGAACAAGAAATCCAAAAGTAATGAAGAGGACGGTGTCAATGAATAACATTAGAAAACCGTTTACACTCTTCAAAAAGACATGAAGGTACGCTAAAAAGTCTGGGTAATGATCCATTCGAAAACATATCGGTCAGGTATTAGGTAAAACACTGAATAGCAATTTAGTAGGCCTCAGGTTCCCAATATTTCATCGACAAATTATATACGAGGTCGATATAAGGCTTCTAGAAATCTTCAAAGTTAAAAAAGCCATAGCTAACCAGTAGTGATATTTGCTGTGATATTTTCTCGAATTGTTAGTAAATTCATCTGTTACGCCCGGATCGTGGGTCTTCCGAAGATTTGCTTGAAACAAAATCTCCCATAACTGTAAGATAATTCTCCTGGGCTAGTCTAGATGTCCCGTAGTTTGATTACAGGGAGTAGAGTGCTCAAGCACTCTGGTTACTTAACTTATTTTGGCGGTCTTATCAAACCTGGTGGTTTGATATCTAATGAGATCTCAGGACGAATACACAAAACTCACCTAGTTTGTACTGTTGCAATACACCTGTAACGTAGAAGGGATGTTCGCCTGCCAGTGAATGGGAGAGTACACTGCACAGCGGTCAGCTCTGTATTGTTCTTTG